AGCAATCGGAGTGGTCTGGGAGTCCCCTGCCCAGGCCTGATGCCTGGGCCAGAGGCATCAGGCCTGGGCTGGGGGCAGAACCAGTGATGGGGGGAAATGAGGGTCCCCTGCCCAGGCCTAACGCCTCTGGGCAAGGGGCCGATCCTGCAATTGGAGGGTGATGGGGGTCAACGCCTGAGGGCTCCCAGTATGTGAGAGGGGGCAGGCTGGGCTGAAGGACACTCCCCCCTCCCCACACCCAGTGCACGAATTTCATGCACCGGGCCCCTAGTATTAGAATAAACACTGAAAACTTATTTTATTATTTATTTACTGTACTCCTCACCCAAAGATATTTTTCCATTGATTTTTAGATAGAGTGAAAGTGAGGGGGGGAGAAAGATGAGAGAGAGAGAGAGAGAGAGAGAGATTAATTGGTTGCCTCCTGCACACACCCCAGCTGGGCTGGGGATAGAACCTGCAAGCAGGGTACATGCCCTTGACCGGGAGTTGAACCTGCGACCCTTCGGTCCCCAGGCCGACACTACTTAACCCAACGGGCCAGGGCGTAAAACTTGTTTTGATTAAACTGCACTCATTCACTTTACTCACCACCCATAATGGAAGTGCCTCGTAGGGTCTCCTTGGAGTGGATGGTTTGGTCCTGGTACCAGTTGCTGTGAACGGTGCGCCTCTCACACTGGGAGGGTCCTTTCCTTGGGCTCCTTTCCTCCCTTCCTCCTACCTGTGTGCGCGCTCTCTCTCTCTCTCCTCCTACCTGCTCTCTCTCTCTCTCTCTCTCTCTCTCTCTCTCTCTCTCTCTCTCACACACACACACACACACACACACACCCTTAGTTTTTGCTTCTTTCCCGCATACTTTGCCTTGGAATTAGTCTTCATGGAATCTTGTTTTTTCGGCTTATTTCCTAGATGGGAAGTGATGGAGTTTTACGCCTCAGCACCTCAGCTCTAAATAATGAGTTCTTTGCATATGCAGCACAAGGATGGAAGCAGCGGCTGGCAGAAGGTAAATGCCTATTTCCCGCTCCTACTTGAGGTATCTGAGTGCACACGCTGTGCTGAGCTTGCACCTTTCTCTGCTTCCCAGTCTCTTCACCCCCCTGGAGTCTGCTTTAATTGAATAAAAACTCCCATTCTGTTCCCAGGGACTTCACCAGTGCTTCTGTTACACTTGGCATCTTTGATATCAGACATTTTTGAAGAAAGCATGATGTTATCCAGAACATAATAAAAATGTTGCTATAGCAAGATATGGGGGGGGGGAGTGTTAAATTTAATTACTTGTTTAATGCATTTTATATTTTACTAGAGGCCTGGTGCATGACATTTGTACACTCGGGGGGGGAGGGAGGGTGGTCCCTCAGCCCAGGCTGCATCCTTTCACAGTCTGGGAACCCTCGGGGGATGTCCGACAGATGGCTTAGGCTCACTCCCTGCGGGGAGCGGGTCTAGGCCACAGTTGGACATCCTTAGTGCTGCAGCGGAGGTGGGCCACTGTGCTTGCCAGCTGTCAGCCCGGCTTGTGGCTAAGTGGCACTCCCGGAGCACACTGACCACCAGGGGGCAGCTCCTGCGTTGAGCATCTGCCCTCTGATGGTCAGTGTGCATCATTGCGACCAGTCACTCTGCTGTTTGGTTGATTTGCATATCACTCTTTTATTATGTAGGATTCATGTCCTGGGGCATAAGGAATCTTCTTTTAATACTTTCTTCCCTTGAAGCCACCACTTTACCTTATCCTTCCTTTTGTCACCAGGCTTCTTGAAAGACTAACAGTATCAGTGCTACCTACCACACTTTATTCCCTCACCCACTCAGCTTGTCATTGTTGGGTGTGGCCCCACTGTACACAATGAAACAATCTCTCCTAGAAAATGCTGACGGCTTCCGAATGGCCAAGTCCAGTCTCCTCTCCTCAGTCCTTACAGTTCATGTTCCTTCTCCAGTTTCTCGTTTGCTTTTTATCCCATCCAACTGGAAACCATCCCCTGTGGGGATTCATAATATAAGTAAAATCTCTTCCTAAAGCTGCCTTTCTGACCACTGTTCCTCAGCGTCTTTCCGGATCCCCTCTTCTCTCATTGGAAGGTAAAGGTTAATGCCTCCACCATTCTCTTCCCTGACATTTTCTTTGGTAACTTACACATAGTCTCTACCCAGCCTCCTTCCCCTCGCTATGGCCCACACCTGGCTCTCACTCCTCTTTCTTGTTCCTTGGTGTTCCATTCCCAGCGCCTACTGGATCCCCTAGCTGACATCAGGCACCTTCAAACCAACAGGCCAATGCTAAACTCCCATCTTCCCTGTAATATCTCCGATTCCTTCTGCCTTCTCAAGGTTAATGTCACCACCTTCCTCACAGCTCCTCACTTTAAACCTTGACAGCATCTTTGGTCCTCTTCTATCTCCCCAGGTCCATCTGGCCAGGAAGTGTTCATTGTGCTGTGAGTCAGCGTCCCCTTCCTGGTCCCACAGCTACTGTCTGACTGCGCTTTCCATCTCTCCTCTATGGTAGTCAGTGGGCTCCTAGGTGGAGTCCTCCGATGTCTTCGCCCTGTTTTTAACTGCTTCTTTGGCCAGATTCCTCCCTCATAGACCATCACCAGAACCTCCCTCTGTGTCTGACAGGAAACATTCAGAGCTCTTGTTAGAATACACGTTGGGTAATTGGCGGCAGCCTGCCTTTCCTATTTCATTTCATCCTATGTTCTATTCACAATTGTCCATTCAAAAGAACATAAATATACATATTCATATCTCTGTGCCTTCTGCATTAATTACTTTATGAAAACTTGATCATCTTTGAGAAGCTAACTCAAGAATCAGTTCCGACAGACTGTGGAATCTCAGCGGGAAGGCAGGAGTGGGTGGGAGGAGATCAACCACAGAACTTGTGTGCATGTCTGCATAACCCATGGGCGCAGACAATAGGGAGGTGAGGGCCTGGGGCGGGTAGGGGCAGGTTAGAAGGGGTCAGTGGGGGAAGAAAGGGGACATATGTAATACTTCCAACAATAAAGTTTTTTTTTTAAAAAAAGCATCAGTTCTAATATGTGGCCTTCTCTAATAGATTTAGGTAGAATTAAATGCTTTCCCTTCTATACTTTTAGCCCATTTATCCTCTCAAGGGCTCTTGACATCATATTACAGCTAAAGGTACGCCTACTCTCTCACCAGACAGACGTCATTAAGGACAGTGGGTCCACTCTCATTCCCAGCCCTGAGCATGCAGGACATTTTCTAAGCGCTTTCGGTTCACCTGTGCCTCAACGACTGTTTAAGTGATGTTCATAAAAAGAGAAGCCGTAGAAATATTGCCGGCACTCAGCTTTTAGTCTTCAACATCCATAAAAGTCTCCTCAAGTTAATGACATGTTTTCTTTATTAATTGGCAAGAGATGTGGCCCCTTTGACTCAATATATAAGCCTTTTCTTTCTAGGAGAGTTTACGCCAGAAATGCAATTGCGGATAAGGCAAGAAATTGAGAAGGAAAAGAAAACAGAACCTTGGAAAGAAAAATTCTTTGAAAGGTTTTATGGAGAAAAGTAAGTGCTAGAGCATTTTTTCTCATTTCTCTTAGAAGGAAATGAAAATGTAATTCTCTGCTTCGCATAGCATACTCATATGCTGTAAAACTTAATAAACCTGTGATAAAAGGCAATAGTCCCTCAGTGTAAGAAACTGCAGGGAAAATTATAGTGGCATATCAGCACTTAAATGATTAAAAATGCATTTTCAAGGGTTTATAACTTGTCCATGAAAATTCATTTTGGACTGAAAACAGCATGAAATCCCATGGAAGTCAATTTTGGCTTTCTTAACTGGATTTTAGTAAAAATCTCCGTTTTTATTAATCCAAGTTATTTTTATTAATGAATACTTTAGACCTAAGTAGTTTTAGGCATATTTAATCCCCACATTTTCCCAAAAATACTGACCATATATCTGTTTAGTCTTTATTTCAGGGAGAGCTTGAGGTGTTACCCTTCACTCTACCCAACTTTCTCTTGGGGTGCAACCTGTTTTAAATTATTTTTATCATGTGTGTTTCTTTTCAAAATAATACTGGCCACACATAGCGTGGTAGTGACGGAACTAAATTGAAAGTATTTCTCCATTGCTTCACGGTTAAAGGGACGTACCTATTCTATGTGAGCAGAATCGGCATCTCAGAGACCATCCGATCCCTAGAAGGAGGAGGGATTAAGAAGCTGACACTGACAGTAACTTGAGACCCTCCTAAGTAGAGGAATTTGAGCTTTAACTCCCATGTACATGAGTAATGCTTAGATTAATGCCTGAGAGTTATTTTGTGTAAAAGACACTGAGGTCATGTAGGTAACAAAACCTATACCTTTGAACTCATTTCACAGCCTCCCTCGTCTCTCCCCCTCTTCTCTCCCCCCCCCCCCTTTTTTTTGTTAAATCTAGAGGCTCCTTGGTGGCAGGGAGCTGCTCCCCCCTAATGGCCCTTATATTTCCCAGTTTTTGATAAATGAGGAAAGCCTCAGAAGGAATGTCACAGGGGCTGGTGTTCTTCACAGAAAGGAATCACATGCCAGACGCCTCCTTACCCTTTGGTGACTTGCCCCAAGGCAGTGCTCTGGAGTCGGAAGGGGCTGTCCTAGGACCTTGGATACATAAACGTATTTAAACAAAAGTAAAAGATCATTACCATCTTTTTTTCAAAAACAAAAATGTGGCAGGCTAGGTCTACGCCTTCCTAGATAGTCACTGGCAGTGTTACTCAAGCCCGGCCATATCCGATCCTCATCGGAGCTTTGAAAAATAGGTACAGTTTCCAGAACCCACCCAGACATATCGATTGGGCATGTCCAGGAGTGGAGCCCGCCCTCATCACCCTCGTCCGACAAAGGGAATGTTGGGGGCACGCTTTTCTGTGACGGCAGAAGCATAACTGAGGCCGTTACCTCCAACACACTAGTCCTGAATTATTATTGGTGTTGGGCCTGTTCTTTCATGAAACCAACATTTATCCAACATCTCCTCCGTGTCAGACACCGTCCGAGATGCCAGAGGTACAGTCATCTGGGAGTTTCCTGGCTGGCTCTGCCCTCCGAAGGCCTACATTCCATAGTCCATGTAGCTTTCCTTCCTCCAACAAATAATAATTGCACATACTCTGGCTATGACATGTTTCTAAGAGTTTTGCTAATGTTACTTCACGTAATTCTCCCAACAAATCCTGTAAGGTGGATATCATTATTATCCTTATATTTTAAAAGCGGTGTCCAAATTGGAGGGACAGTGAAACTTAATTTTGTCTGATTTATAAGGCATGGAGAAGTCATTTGCTCATGGTCTTAATACTACAAGTTCTTCCCAGAAAAATTCATACACATACATTTTTTTAAAATATACTTTTATTGATTTCAGAGAGGAAGGGAGAGGGAGAGAGAGGTAGAAACATCAATGATGAGAGAGAATCATGGATCAGCTGCCTCCTGTAAACCCCCCATTGGGGATGGAGCCCACAACCGGGGCATGTGCCCTGACCGAGAATTGAATTGTGACCTCCTGGTTCATGGGTTGACGCTGAAGCACTGAGCTACACCAGCTGAGCCACATACATTTTTTTACATGGCATTGGGGGTTTCACAGACTCCCATAGGTTGATCAGGCTAAAGGTCCCTGCCTCAGAGGGTGACAGCTACAATACTGTAAGTAAGGCTCCCATCTCCACTCCTGAGCTCCAAATACAAACAGTTCTTTTTCACTTAACCGCTCTCTTGCTATAGTTTTCCATAGAGTTTCTGTCTCTTAAAGGTACTGGACTTCTTGCTTGCTCTTTCCTGTCTTTGATTTCATATCGGATGACAGATATATTCTGGACATTTCATTGAATGCCTTTCTAGTTTCGTTACTTTTAGATTGCCCACGTTTTCCCAATATGTGAGGGATTTTTCCCGAGTATCACACACTTTCCCTTGACTGACACCATGTGCCTTTTCATTGCTCAGAGTTTTTCCCACAATGTTACTATCCAACTTCACTTCTAGTTAAATCTGTCTGATTTTGTTTTTTCTCTTTGTTTGAGGTCTTTATGATGGTTCTTACTGGCTTACTCTGCTTGTGATATAGTACTGTGGTATATTTTAGTTACTTAGAGATCACCCACATGTATGCTAATTCAGAATTGTAGGAGTTGGTCTGATTTGCAGTTTAGATTTCTGAGGGCAGGGTTTCCTTTGTGTGGTTATGTGGTGTGCCCTAAGCTTCTTCTTTCTATGCCTTATGCCATCTTAAATTTATTTTCCCATGAAAATAAAATGTTGATATGGGCATATTTCACATAGTGCTGTTTTCTATATGATTTATACGATTTCTATATGACCTATATGATTTCTATATGATTTGTAAGTGTACACACACTTTTTTTCTGATAGCTCAGTTGATTTTTTTTCTTTCCAGATTTAACCCATTGGAATTCATAATTATTCAAAGTGTGTATACATTTTTGGGACACCCTATATATCATATACATACATCCTATCTAATAAAGAGGGAATATGCTAATTGACCCTCACTCCATCGCAAAGATGGTGGTGCCCACAGCCAGTGAGGAGGGGATATGCTAATTAACTGCCATGCCCTCACAAAAGATGGCTTCCCCCAAGTGATCAAAGATGTCCACCTTCAAGTGGTCAAAAGATGGCCACCACAAGATGGCCGGCAGGGGAGGGCAGTTGTGGTCAATGAGGACAGCAGGGCAAGGCAGTTAGGAGCAACCAGGCTTGCAGGGGCAGGCAGTTGGGGGGCATTGGGCTACTCATCATTAAAAAAAAAATTGCCATTTGAGATAACATGGATGGACCTAGAGATCATTATAATCCTATCTAATAAAAGAGTAATACGCAAATAAACCATCACTTCACAATAAAGATGTTGGTGCCCACAGCCAATAAGGAGGGAATATGCTAATTGATGGCCCACAGCCACAAGATAGCTGTCAGGGGAGGTAAGTTGTGGGAGATCAGGCCAGCAGAGGAAGACAGTTAGGGACGGGCCCACACGGGAGGGAAGGCAGTTGGGGGGAACCAGGCCTGTAGGGGAAGGGCAGTTAGAGGTGACCAGGCTTGCAGGGGAGGCAGTTGGGGGTGACCAGGCTGGCAGGGGGGGGAAGGTAGGGGCAACTGGGCCGGCAGGGGAGGACAGTTGGGGGCAACCAGGCTGGCAGAGGAGGGCAGTTGGGAGGGATCTGGCTGGCAGGGGAGCAGTTTGGCATCA